TTTTTTTTTTTTTTAATTGCCATTGTGTAGATTCTGACTCATGGTGACCCTACGTGTTGCAGACTAGGACTGCATGCACTCCATAAGGTTTTCATGACTGTGACCTTTTGGAAGTGTTTTGCCAGGCTTTTCTTCTGAGGCATCTCTGGGTAGGTTTGAACTGCCAACCTTTTGGTTAGTAGCTGAGTTCTTTACTGTTTGTGCCACCCAAGGACTCGTCTTACATATATTTATATCCTGTTTAATCTTCTCTGGTGCCATTCCTATTTTACAGATGAGGCTCAGAGAGGTTAAGAAACTTGCCTGAGGCTGCACAAGGAATAGTGGTGGAGCTGATAACCAGCCGTATGTCAAACCTTCAAGCATACATACTGCCTCCTACTCTGTTATGTTGCCCATGGTCTGAATTACCCAAACACATTTAAAGGTTGCCCCTGATTCACCTGTCTCTTCTGCAGAAGTTGGGACAGGAGCGTCTGTTGGGTAGGTGGCTGTTTCAGCTGTTTGGGTCTCTTCTCCTGAGTGCAAGGGACTAGAGGACTCAATTTCTAGCTGCGCCTCTGCAGGGCGCTGGGTCTGCTGGGTCCACTCTGCCTCTTGGGTACTGGTGCTGATGACAATATCCAGCCCCGAGGTGTGACCTGACAGGTCTCCGTCAATTTCAGTTCTGTCTCCAGAAGTTAGGGGAGTGGCTGAAGACAAGCCTGATGCATCTGTGCCCACCTCATAGGGGGCAGTTGGTTCTCCACTCACTTCTGGGGCTGCCGACCCCTCCCTGGGGCTTTCCTGGGAGGCAGAGGTGCTGCCGCTCTCACCCAGGACTGAGGCTGTCTCAAGATCAGCTTCATGGAAGGCTGATGTGGTTCCACTGAGATCAGGGGATGCAGAAGTTTCTCCGCTGGTCTCGAGGGCAACAGATGCCTCCACCCCAGCCTCAGGGTAGGTAGATGTTGCACTGCTGGATTCTGGGACAGATGATGCTTCTACCTCAGACTCAGAGAATCCTGGTGTAGCTCTACTAATGTCCCCAGATGCAGAGGCTTCCCCACTGGACTCAAAGAGCTGGGAGTGCGTCACAGGAGGTCTTTGGCCGAGTTCCTGGGAAAGAGTTGGCTCAGTGACACCCTCCACAAACTCAGAAGTGATTAAAGTAACCTCTGGGAGTCCTGAGGCCTCCCCACTGGTGCTTGTGGCTGAAGAGGATTCTCCACTTACATCTGTGATGCCAGAAAAGTCCCCACTAAAATATGGAGTGCTTGGGGGTTCTCCACTGGGCTCTACCAGCCCCGATTGCAGCCCACTTAGGTCCAAAAATCCAGAATGGTCTCCAGACATGTCTGGTGCTCCAGAATGGGCACCACTGAGTTCCAAAGTGCCTGAGGCCCCTTCTGCCTCCTGGGCTGTTGGGGCCTGGGTTATAGATTCTACCAAAGTTCTGTCTATAAGAGAGATTGTTGGGAAACCAGATGGAAATCCACTGCCTTCATATGCTCCTGAAGGCAGGCTGCTCCCAATCTCAGCTCCAGGGGCTTCTCCACTGACCTCAGCTATTCCACTTGGCAGGCCACTGAATTCTGGAGCCTGGGATGGAAGCCCACTGGAGTCAACTGTTCCAGAAGACCATCCACTGACATCTACCATTCCAGATGTCCCTGAAAGATCTGCTTCCCCAGAAGGAAGTCCACTGAGTTCCACAGACCCCAAGCTTTCTTCTTCTTTAAATGTAGTAGGGGTCACTTCAACAAAACTGGTGTCCACAAATGTAATGCCAGAAGATTCACCACTGCCACTCATAGTACCAGAAACCAGATCAGGGATTCCAGATGTTGCCCCACTGAACCCTGGCAACCCTGATGGCTGCTCACTGAGATCAGGGACCCCAGATGTTTCTCCACTTAGGTCAGTTATGCCAAATGGTTGACCACTGCCAAAAACAACTCCAGATGCTTCTCCACTGACATCTGGTTGTCCAAAGGACAGCCCACTAAGCTCAGGCACTCCAGATGTTTCACCACTGGTTCCAGGAAACCCTGATGGCTGTCCACTCACCTCAAAAAGCCCAGATGTTTCCCCACTAATGTGAGGAATGCCTGATGGCTGCCCACCAATGTCAAAGACTCCAGATGTTTCCCCGCTGATGTCAGGAGACCCAGATGCCTGGCCACTGAGTTCAGTTCCTGAAGGTAGTCCACTAGTTCCACCACTAATATCCAATTCATGGAAAGGCAGCCCAGAAGTTTCTCCAGCACCACTTATTCCAATAGTTCCTCTCCCTTCCAGTTTCCCTGGAGTGGTGGCTGTGACCACTTCCACCAAGGTAGTATCCACTAGGGAGATAGTTGGGAACCCATAAGGAAGTCCACTAAAGTCAGGTAGGCCAGAGGATGTGCCACTTGTAATTTCCACTCCAGAATATTCACCACTAAATCCAGAGGGAAGACCACTTGCTTCTGGAGCTTGCCCACTTCCTACAGTACCAGAAGGCAGTCTTCCAAAGTCCAGGGGTCCAGAAGCAGACCCTACCAAGTCTTCCTCTCCAGAAGGCAACCCACTGAACTCCTCAGCTCCAGAAGCAGAGGTCTCTATACCTTCTCTTCCAGAAGGAAGTCCACTGAGGTCCTCTACTCCCGAAGGGGTCTCTAGACCTTCTCCTCCAGAAGGAAGTCCACTGACATCCCCTACTCCAGAAGTGGAGGCTTCTGGGCCTTCTTCTCCAGAAGGAAGTCCACTGACATCCCCTACTCCAGAGGCAGAGGCTTCTAGACCTTCTCCAGAAGGAAGTCCACTGAGGTCCCCTACTCCAGAAGAAGGGATCTCCAGAACTTCTCCAGAAGGAAGTCCACTGAGGTCCCCTACTCCAGAAGCAGAGGCTTCTGGACCTTCTGCAGAAGGAAGACTACCGACATCCCCTACTCCAGAGACAGAGGCCTCTAGACCTTCTCCAGAAGGAAGTCCACTGAGGTCCACTACTCCAGAAGAAGGGATCTCCAGACCTTCTCCAGAAGGAAGTCCACTGAGGTCTCCTACTCCAGAAGAAGGGATCTCTAGATGTTCTCCAGAAGGAAGTCCACTGAGGTCCCCTACTCCAGAAGCAGAGGCTTCTGGACCTTCTTCTCCAGAAGGAAGTCCACTAACATCCCCTACTCCAGAGGCAGAGGCTTCTGGACCTTCTCCTCCAGAAGGAAGCCCACTGAGGTCCCCTACTCCAGAAGCAGAGATTTCTAGACCTTCTCCTCCAGAAGGAAGTCCACTGACATCCCCTACTCCAGAGGCAGAGGCTTCTGGACCTTCTCCTCCAGAAGGAAGCCCACTGAGATACTCTACTCCAGAGGCTGAGGCCTCTGGACCTTCTCCAGAAGGAAGTCCACTGAGGTCTCCTACTCCAGAAGCTGAGGCTTCTGGACCTTCTCCTCCAGAAGGAAGTCCACTGAGGTCTTCTACTCCAGAAACAGAGCCCTCTATGCCCTTGTCTTCTGTGGGTGGCTTGCTAACCTCAGGAATGGTGGACCACTCAATCCTGTCTTCATCCCCTGAAGATGCACTTTCTGTAGGTAGCCCTGAGCCCACTGTGGAAGTCTGACCACTGAAGTCAAGGTCTCCAGAGGGTAGTCCACTTGCACTTTCTCCCGAGGGTTGCCCAGTAAAGTCAAAGTGTCCTGAAGGCTCTCCACTGCCTGTGAAGTCACCACTGATTTCAGGAGCCCCAGATTCCTCCCCAGAGCCTGCCAGCTCAGTCCTGCTGGGCACTGAGGGTGTAGGTGTATATGGCTCCTCTTGGGTGTATGGTTCTTCTGAGGTGGATGGTTCCTCTGAGGCAGATGGCTCCTCTGAAGTGGATGGCTTCTCTGAGGGGGATGGTTCTGCTGAGGCAGATGGTTCCTCTGAGGCAGAGGGTACTTCAGTTACAGAGGGGCCTTCTGTGCTTTCCTCTGTTGCTAAGCCAGTGGGAGGCAATGTAGGAGGGATCCCTGCAGGAAAGGAGGAAAAAAAGAGAAGGCATAGATTTATTAACTCATGCCCACTTTAAGTTCATAGAGAGAAGCTACACTCCATTCTTTCCACAGTAAAACTTTTCTCTCAAGAGTGCAGAGATGTGTTCAGACACTTCCTAATGGGACCTTCCACAGTGCCCCAGGAGGGAAAAAAGGATGAGAGGGAGGGAGGGGACCAGGAAATTCCCTACTACCTTCAGGGTACCAATCACGTAACACTTTGGATGCGGGAGCCTGACCACCACCAAAGGTAACCAAGATCACATTTCATGTATTGCTTTCTCTCACTGGGGAGAGGTCCTAGAGGCCAGCTGAGGTGGCTGACATTGCCCACAGGGCCAATGACAGGGCCAGGGAAAAGAGTGCAAGCCCAGGGAGAGAAGCCATCCCTAGGCACACCCTGGGCAGACAGGGGTTTGTGGCTTCAGGGTGGGCCCACAGCCCAGGCACTGACCTGGCAGTGGCAAAGTGCCTGCTAAGGTGTAGGCTGGTTCCCATTCTGTCTGGTTTTCCGGCTCGATGGTGAAGCCTGGGACTGTGGTTGTCTCCTCCCCCAAGGGAACAGCAGCCACGCCAGGCACCACCTGGGTAGTGATCCAGTCCTCTACGCCAGAGGGTGGCATGGGTGTGCTACCCTCCTCTTCTTCTGGAGAGGGCGCCACTGAAATACCTAAAAGGGATGTGAGTGGTGAGATTCCCTCCTGCACCAGTGACTCATGCCAGGCTGGCCCTTCTGGAGAGGAACTGGGGACTCAGTGCAACAGCCTGGCTGGGCCACCCCCACTCCGCCCAGGGCAGGCGATGGTTCTTTGCCTTCTCAAAGAATAAGAGTCATTTGCATCAACTATACAATATCCACATGCACACACCTTTAGCAGTGCTTTTCAGTCTGAGTTATTTGTCCTGCAGAATCTACTAAACATGCCAGGCATTGTTTGAAGGGCTTTATGTACAGTCAATCATTTAATTTCACAATAACCAGAGGAGATAGATTCTGTGATCTCATTTGACAGATGGGGAAACTGAGGCACAAAGAAGTTAAGTGACAGTTAATCCTCTAGGTGGGGACTGTTCTTCCTGAGACTGATGGAGTGTGAGTGTGGCTGAACTTTCTTTGATTTAGAATTTTAAAAGATGATCCTGGAAGTGGGGGAAACTTGGGGACATATAGGCTTTATTATTATTTTTTTAAATTTTAGTTTGAAATAGTTATAGATTCACAGGAAGCTACAGAGAGGAATTGCAAATCCTTCTGGAGGATTTGTCCCAGCAACCACTCCCTGCTCTGGGAGGAAATTCCCAGCCATACCCACCTGTACCCCTCATCCCCCAGCCTTTTTATTATTCCCCTAGAGAAGTTTGGCTCCCTTCTCCACCAACTTAGTTTTGATGTGTAATATGTAAAATGTATCACAAACAGTTTGTACAGTCTGTACCCTGTGTGTCCAGGCCCATGGACCATGGAGAACTCATCCAGAGCTCAGCAGTGCCTTGACCACGCCCTGGTCACACTCATTGACTTGTTTGATAACATTACTGTCAATGGAGTAATGGTTGATATGGCAGTGTGTCCATGGCATGAGTCAATTAAGAATGTTAATTACTTATGCTTAGTGAAGAATAAAGGAGCTCTGGTAGTGCAGTGGCAGCTCTGGTGGTGTAGTGCCTAAGGTATTTGACTGCTAACCCACCAGCCACTTCTCGGAAGGAAGACTGGACAATCTACTTCTACTTCTGTAGTGATACTGCCTCAGAAATCTAAGGAGGGGTCATGAGTTGGACTGACTCAACAGTAGTGAGGTTTTTTTTTTTTTTTTTTTTTTTGGTGATAGTGCATTGGGTAAGGCATTTGGCTGCTAATAAAAGATAAGCAGTTCAAACCTACTGGGTGCTCCATGGGAGGAAGATGGAGCAATCTACCTCCATAAAGATTTACAGTCTTGGAAACCCTATGAGGGTTGCTATGAGTTGGAATCAATTCAATGGCAGTGGGTTTGGTTTTTGGTTTGGTGGTGCAGTGGTTAAGGCATTCAGCTGCTAACCAAAAGGTCAGCAGTTTAAAACCATCAGCTACTCTGAAGGAGACAGATGAGGCAGTCTGCTTCTGTAAAGATTTACAGCCTTGGAAACCCTATGGGACAGTTCTACTCTGACCTATAGGATTGCTATGAGTTGGAATCAACTTGATGACAGTAGGTTTTGGTTTTGGTGTTGAAGAATAAGAGAATAAACTCATCACAAAAATATTTATAAGCAGGAGAAAATTTGAGAAGGGTGTACAAATTAAAATGATACATATAAAACTCATAATAATAGAAGCTAATGTTCATTGAGCATTTGCTATGTTCTGGGCACTATGCCACGGGTTTCACATGCACCATCCCAGCTAATCCTTACAGAAACTCTTTGATATAGGAACTATTGTATCACCATTTGTAGGAGCTAAAGCAAAGGAACAAAGAGGCTAAGTGACTTACCCAGGGTTACACAGATCTTAAGTAGCAGAGCTATAATTTAGATTTAGGTCTGCCTCATTTTATAGGCCAACTCACTTCTCTCTGCTTGCCTTGAGAAAGATGCACTTGGCTTGGGTTCAAAGCCTAATGCCACACTAGCACCACAACTCTCTCTGCTCCAGAGAGACCAACTTTTTCGCCTTAGTGTAATGGGTGGTGCAGTGGGCAGGGCCAGGATGAGTGAGCCCAAGGGAGTTGCTCCTGGGAGAAAGGGGATCTAGAGAAGTGAGGCGTGTACCTCGGAAACAGAAGGCATGGTGCCGGGACAGCGGGTCCGGGAGGCCGGTCTGGTTGGGGTAATGGTAGATGGTCCTCACTCCAGGCTTACTCCCACCACAGGCAGGCCGTGGGCTGACAATGGGATAGCGAAGGCTGCCATCAGACAGCCAGCCGGCATAGCACTTGTCCAGGCCACGGCTCCAGGCGGCGTAGAGCTGGCCCGTGGAGGCGAGTGTGGCATTGTGGGATTCACAGAACTCCAGAGCTTCCTGGAAGGTGAACTGTTCCGGGCGTGTGGCGAAGAACACTTCCCCTAGGGGCAGAAGCAGGTGACTGTGTGGGAGATTCCAAGCCCTCTGCCCTCACACTACACCTACCCTGCTTACCAGAATCCCCACTTGCATGGCACACACAGGGTCAAGATTCAAGCCAGCTCATATGGGCCCCCTGTCAACCACCTCCTTAGATCTCCTAGGGCACTAGTTTGTATGGAACTGGAGTTCCCTGGGATTTGGGGCTTTCAGTGCTAAAAATCAGGAAGTCTTAGCCAAACTAACTGGGTCCAGCTGGTCACTCTACTGGGAACCACCCACTTTTCCTTCCTCCTTTCTAGATTCTCCAGTCATACTAGGCATTCTCCCCACCCCCTGCCCCCCACCAGCTGAGAGGGACAGCTCCCTGCCCTGTAGCATTTATCATGGTCACTGTTGAGCTGCCTGTGGCTCGCCCCCTTGCCTTGAGAACTCATTGAGGCAGGGGTTGGGTCCTGTAACCACTGCTCAGCACCCAGCACCAGTTTCAGGTACCGACCTGATTTAGGGTGAAGGAAGCTCATTTATTGACCACTTACTTGTGCCAGGCACCTTTCCTATATACCTCATTTAAACCTCAAAAAAAGACTGATGTGAGTATATATCAGCCTCATTTTAGAGATGAGGAAACTGAGTCCTAGACAGGTTAAATAATTTGCCCAGGGCCCCAAAACAAAGGGGTGGCAATATGGAAAATTTTCCAGCATACCAGCATTTCCAAAATTGGGTTCAGTGGGACACTAACTTGGATAAATTTTAATCGAAATGAAATGAAACAAAACAAAATAAAATAAAAGGTCCATGGTCAAAATAGCTTGGAAAATGCTGGGTTAAAGAAAGTTTTTGTTAGTTTGTTTTAAACTTCAAGATTTCTCAGAGCCTTTGATTTACTCATGGGCACTAAGACTCCACAAGTGGTAGGTGGTATGTGTAGCATTTATTTAGATAGAATGAATTAATGCAGTTATTTATCCACAGTGCTGGGGGGAAATCACATGAACCATCTAGCAGAGCAACAAGGGGCTCGACCTGAGAGAGGGGCTAGGTGGGGCTTCATTTTCTCAGCAGGTCCTGGAAAGCTGGGTGGGAATGGGGTGGTGGTAGTGATTGCTCCTCCCCTCTGGTATCTTCCCTTCAGCTCCCTGCCTGTCTAGGGCCCCAAATGTGAGGATGTGGCCGGTACCCTCGAGCTTATCCACGTAGCAGTAGACGTCATAGGTTTCTGATGATGGACGCACACCATAGGTTCTGACTCCGGGGCTGCTGTTTTTGTCACCTACACATGCAGCCCGTGGGCTCACAATGGGGTATCTGCAAGGAGGGTGGAAGAGAAGAATAAGGTCATGCTCTCAGTGCCCCAGGGTGAGGCTGGCAGGCCCTTTGGGGACTTGGGCAGGTTGTGTCTTGGGTTGTCTGATGAGATTCAAATCATGAAGTAGCCCCTCATGCAGCAAGTTCCCTGAGCAGACTACTTCTTAGTTCCCTCTGCAGCTGGGGGAAGGGTCTGATGGCCCCTGGGGGAACCTTGGCTTCAGAAGATGGTGAGCCCCATGGAAGGGCACTGGGCAGCTGGAGGAGGGGGCTTTGGAGGAGGGACTCCCTGTCTGTCTCTTGGGGTGCTGCTGCTTCACCACTGGTTGCAGCCTGACCGGGGCTCTTCCACACCTCCTCAGAATATAACTCATCTGAGGAGAGGTAAGGAAGTAGCTATGGACTCAACAGTGACCATTGCATTGATTAATCTACAACATATTGGTGGATTAAGGAGCTCTGGTAACACAGTGCCTAAGGCATCTGACTGCTAATCAGAAGGTTGGTGGTTCAAACCCACCAGCCACTCCACAGAAAGAAGGCTGGGCAATCTACTTCCTTAAAGATTTACCTCCTCAGAAACCCAATGGGAATTGCTATGAATTGGAATTGACTCGATGGCAGTGGGTTTGGATTTTTGGTTTTATTGGCGGATTAATGGTTGGAGTGCCAGATTCATCAAAACTGTTATCTTCAAGGTGTGTGGTCACTTCCCCCAGGGTGGGCTGGGGAGGTACTGGGTCCTTTCTTCACCTGACAGTCTGGTCCTGCAGCCAGCCAGCATCGCACTGCTCATAGCCGGCCTCATAGGCTGCCTGGAGTTGCTCCGGGGAGGCGATGACTGCACCTGTGCTCAGGCAGGCCTGCTGTGCCTTCTCATACGTCAGTGAGTAGCGAGTGGGTCCTGGGCGGTAGTGGAACACAACCCCTGGATGGGAGAAGGAGAGAGAGGTCTACGCAGGGCACAGGCCAGGCTCCACAGGGCCACTCACCATGGTGCCCTAGTCCTCAAGGCTCTATGGGCACAGTGGAGACCCTGGCTCTTTAAGGAATGACTTCCTCTCCATCCCCACCTTCCAACTCTAAGCCATTTCTCTCTGCTCATTCAAACTGCTCCCAGCATTCACCTCCCTGAGAAAGCCTTCTGAGAGCCTTTAATCCTAGGTGTTCTCATCTCTCCCTATCTGGGTTCAGCACACCAAGGCTGCCCATTGTCCACTCATTCTTTAAAACAAAAAGGTACTTTTTCTTATTATAAAATGGAAAAAACATCATTATAGAACATTTGGAAAACACACAGAAGGATGGGGAGGGAATCCAACAATCGCTGATAAGCTTCCTCCTGGTCCCTGGTACAGGACTCTGGGTGTGTAGGCCTCCCAAGTGCATTTGCGAACATTTGTTGGGTGTGCAGTGGTGTATTTCTGGGGCATGAGCCTCTACCTTCCATTAGATTCTTAAAGGGGTAGGCCCACAAACAGGCAAGAGCCTTCTCCTAGAGTCTCCCTATATTGTGCTCAGCTGGATACACATTTGTTTTTGAAATTTCCCTGGGTGACAGATCTGTGTCTGTCACAGGCTATGAATCCCCAGTCTGTGTCTGTACCATGTCCTTTGTCCTATACTGAGTCAGATGCTCATCTGTCCATTGGTTCTGACTCACATGGCTGCCAGTGGGGCTCACACCAGTGCTAAGCCAATCCTGAGACCAGCCACCAATGAAGTTACCCCAAACTTCTCAACAACCTCTCTTCCTCAACCTAGTGTATATATCTGGGCAGTTCACTTGGTAGCATCACGGTTGTGAGGATGGATGGCCATGTCCATCTGCCCCTCCCCTGGGATGGGATGGGATACCACCAAAGCCTTCATGAAGGCCAGAACTCAAGTTCTCCTTATACATGGATTTGAGTTTAGACGCAGCTGAGCTCTATGTGATATCCTAATTCTCTAGACAATTTATCAAGCACTTGGAACACCATCACCCTAGAATAGGGATTGGCAAGCCTTTTCTGGAAAGGGCCAGAGAGTAAATATTTTAGGCTTTGTGGACTACATGGCGCTGTCACAACTCAGCTCTGCCATTGCAGCACCGCGTCAGCCATAGACAACATGTAAACAAATGGAGGTGGCTGTGCTCCTGCAAAGCTTTTTTATGGGCATGGGAATTGGAATTTCATATAATTTTCACATGTCATGAAATAATTCTTCTTCTTCTGAATTTTCCCAACTATTTGCAAATGGAAAAACCATTCTTAGCTCATGGGCCATATGAAGACAAGGGTGAGCTGGATTTGGCCCATGGGCCATGGTTTGCTGATCTCTGTGGTGAAAGGTCAGAGCTGGGAGAGGCCTCAGGGGTCAACCCGTGCAGTAGTTTTCAAGTGATTCTATTCTCTGGAGGTGCATGCTGTGGCAGGGAGGATCCATGTATGGGAAGAGCCCCAGTTCTGAACCCCACTTCACCTGGATCTGCATGTCCCCTTTATCTAATGTACATACTGGGTTGCCACATGTGATATCATTTGAAATAAATGCTTTGTGGCAAAAAAAAAAAAAAAAAAGTCTGGGATACAATGGGAGAAACATGTAGAACAAAGCTCAAATTCTTAAACAAAAGGGCAGACTAACTGGACCAGTTGAGACCAGAGGGCTCTCTGAGACTATTGCCCTGAGATGCTTTTTAAAACTTGAACCGAAACTGTCCTGAGATCACCTTTTAGTGAAAGAACACAGTGGCACACAGGATAAAGGATATTACTCATGAGTATGGTGCTCTACTAAAAAACCATCTATATGAGACCAAAAGGTCAACATCTACTCGGAAGCAGAGATGAGACGATAAGGGGGCAGGGAAACTAGAGTACTGGAAACAGAACAATCAGAACACAAGAAAAGCGAATGTTGACACTGTGTGATAAATGTAACATGTAACTAATGTCACTGAACAACCTGTATAGAAATTTGCAACTGGGAACTTAATTTTTTGTATAAACTTTCATCAAAACCACAATGAAATATCATTATTATTATTTTTTTAAAAGCGTTTGAGACATCACTGGTCTGGTCTAGCCTTTTTGTTTTATGGATGAGGATACCCAAAACTGAGAGAAGAGAGGCTTGGCCAAGGTCCCAGGATAAGCTGAAGGGACAGGCACAACGTCCTCCTGATGCCCAGGGCAGTTTTTCCACTTGCCCCCTGTAAGCACCCCCTGAAGGTGAGTACTTACCCCCTGGCAAGAGTGGCTGCCCAGGGACCATGGTTCCACCTGGAGCGATGGTCACTTGCACGACTAGGTCATCACTGGTGTAGGCTGTGGCAGGCCCCAGGCCTGGTGTGGATTCTTCAGGAAAGCCCAAAGGCCTGGTGGCCTCTTCAGTTTGGTTCTCAGCCTCAGGGAAGGCAGGGGTCAGTGTGAAGGGCTCCTCGGGCTCCGGGACAGTGGGCAAGATGTCGAAGATGGGCCTCACTGTGAGGATCACGTTGCCCCGGGCTTCACCCTCAGTGATGTTTTGGGGCAGAGGCAGCTCTACTTCAGGCCAGGTCACCGTCTGGATAGTGATGTCCTCCTCACCGAAGAAGTTCTCGGGGATGTCCACAAAGTCTTCACCTGGGGTAAGAGCAAAGACATGCTCTAGATGCTCAGCCTAGGCCTGGCTTCAGGGGCATGAGGGATGAGCTCAGAGGGCCCTGTGGAGAAGGAGAGCATCTACTATATGGCAGGCCCCCGGCTCAGCTCATTGCAGGGTCCTTACTATTTAAAGTGCTCTTACCATTATTCCTTATTCATTATAGGGGTCCTCATATTTTCAAGATCACAAAAGGATGCAAGAGTCATCATAGCAAAAGATATTGACCAATCAGCTTGCTACTTAAAAAATCAGTTCTCCCTCCAATACTTCTTCCTGCTTAATTAACACCATCTCACTCACCTTGCTAATCATCTGAAATAGTAACTATCCAACAGGGTTATGCAAATCAGTTATAGAGGGAAGTTGTAAAAATCTTGCAGAAGATGCAGGAGTCTGTGAAATTGATGAAAGTGATGATGGAGTCTGAAATCGATGAAAGTGATGTTGGCAAACAACTTGTATCACAATCATGGATAAGTGAGGCCAAAATGGATCAGTTAACATTTAAAAAAGAGAAAATCCATGAGAATGATGCTACTTCCAAAAGAGCGGTTGGTGATGGCTGCACAACACACTTGGTGTGATTGGTTTAACTGAATAGTATAAATGACACATGCTGAAATGGCAAATATTGTGTTATCTATAATTTTTACAACAATAATAAAAAAGAAACTCAACAATAACAAAATAAAATAAAATAAAATATAAAAATACATATTCCACGTAGACTTGCCCACTTAGCACTTGTTAACCAGGAGAGTGAACATGCACCACCTCCCTACAAATCCATGTTCAAATTCATTTTCTCATTGAAAACCTGTCTGACCATCGATTTAATGTGCAACAGTACCTCCAGCACTCCTGATCTTCTTCCCCTGCTCTACTCATTTGTCCCAAGATATTTTTCAGCATTTGTCACACTCTGTAATTTATGTATTTACTGTGTTTATTATTTATTGTCTGTCTTGCTCTACTAGAAAGTCATTGCCTTGAGGGCAGGAATCTTTGGTTTGTAAAGTATCCCTAGGTCTGACACATAGTAAGTCCTCAATAAATATTTGTTGAATGGAAAAAACAAAAAGAGTGGTTAGAGTATAAAAAGGTTAAGAGAAGCTCTGGGACAAATGTATGATATCCTAATTATTTTTGCAAAAATAACCCTGCTTCTGAAACACCAGGCTGTGAGAGTTAAACATGAAAGGAAATATGTCACTGTGCTATCACCAGTTCTGTATCAATTTATACAACCCCTCACCCACTGTATTTTTTTTTTCTGTCAAAAATTAGCACTTAATTGTAACTATAACCTAGTTCTTGTTAAATATAAGATAAAAAATGTATTTGACATTTTCAGTCTAAATTTCTCAGATAAAATCCCAATCAAAACTCCCTTTTCTTTTCAATAACACTTTGGGCTTCCATTTATGTGGATTTGATTTTAAAGGGCAGATAACAGTGCTCTCCGGTGGGAGCATGGTCTCATGTCAGTCTGCCTTCCACCATCCTCCACATGGTACCACCATCCCCCCACTAGATAGATAAGGAAAATAAGTCTCAAAGCCTTGACCTTCCCAGGGTCACAAAGTGTTTAGTGACAATGCTGGGGTTCAAACCTCAGAAGACACAGACTCTAAAGCGTGTGCATCTAATCCTGTTCTGATGAGAGAAGACAGGGCTGGATCCACTTTAGTCTCTAGCATCCCTACCCTAGCACTTCCTAGGAACCAGTAAAAATGGCGGGCAGAGGTACCAAAAGTGTGAAAGTCCCTGGATGGTGCAAACGGTTAATGTGCTCAGTTGCTCACTGAAAAGTTGGAGGTTTGAGTCCACTCAGAGGTGCCTCAGAAGAAAGGCCTGGCCAGCTACATCTGAAAACTCAACTACTGAAAACCCTATGGAGCACAGTTCTACTCTGATACACATGTGTTTGCCGTTGAGTTGGAACTGACTTAATGGCAAGTGGTTAACAGGCTACCAAAAACATGAGATTCAGGTGCCCAGCGGCTCCTTGAAGGGAGAAGAACCAATCCCTCTTTCCAAGTTCTTTCCTTCTTCTGGGCTCCAATTTTGGTGGTGTGATTCCCCTTCCCGCTTTCAGACCCAGCCCACCTGTGTAGCAGATGGCGTCATAGCGGGATGAAGGCTCTGGGTAGCCCGTCTGGTTGGCATACAGGTAGACAGTCCTCACACCAAGGAGGTTGCCCCCACAGTTGGGCCGGGCCTTAGAGATGGGGTAGCGCACACTGCGGTCGGCCAGCCAGCCAGCACTGCACATGTCCATGCCGCCTTGCCAGGCCAGGTAGAGCTGGCCTGTGGTGGCCAGCCGGGCTCCCAGCCGCCGGCACTCGTTGGCTGCCTCCTGGAAGGTGAATTTCTCAGGGGACGTAGCGTAGAATACCTCGCCTGTAAACGACACAGCAGCAGAGTGAGGGCAGCCTCCGGGGGAGAGTTGTAGTTGCTAAAGCAGCTCTGACTGGTCATTATATTTGTCTTTGGTTAACCAAAAATGGGAGCCCAAATACTTGTTACTTGACAGGCCACTTTGGACCCTGGGGTGAAAATAAGGAAGGGGACAGTGGTGGTGAGAAAGATGGGGGCTCTCCTGCCTCAGAATGAGCCAGCATATCACTCTTTTCTGAGCCTGCAGAGAGCTGTGAGCACTGTGCCTGGAAGGGGGCAGAGTTGGCAGAGTCTGGAATGTTGAAAGGCAGATGCCCCCATGTTACTCCCATGCTTGGGTATCTTGGGCAGCTCTGTGACCAAAATTAGTGCCCTTTACAAAACAGAAAAAATTCAGGTTCCTCCAAGACTAGGCCTAGAATAAGGTAGGGGGCTGGGCACAGAGGAGTTGAGAGAGGGTGCTGGGTTTCAAGTGGGCCCGCCCAGGAGTGGCCTGGGGCGTCCCCTGTGAGAGTGATAAGGCTAGGTTTTGATAGCCTGGTGGACCCTGGGACAGGGATGGGAGTCCTGGCTGGGAGGAGCAGCCCCAAGTGAGAGATCTGTGACACTTGCTTTTGGTAAAGTACAGGGTCAGTGAAATAGAGGAGGACCCTCAATGAGATAGACTGACATAGTGGCTAGAACAATGGGCTCGAACATACCCATGATTACAGGGATGGTGCAGGAATGGACAGTGTTTTGTTCTGTTGTACATAGAGTATCTATGACTCAAAACTGCCTCGATGACACCTAACAACAACAACAGTGACTTTTGGACAATCTGAAGCCACCTAGGACCACCAAAGCCCTCTGTCGAGGCAGGGGGAACAAGGGGCCTCTTCCTTTCCCACTCTGGGCACAGCAGAAAAGAGTCGAGGGTGTCTGGAAGAGATGCCTGAGCTAGCATCCTGACCCAGGAGATGCTGTGTGACCAGGAGTGCAAATCGGATGAAAGGTCTATGAAGGGGACTCATGGGGACGGGTAGAGTTTCTCCTGGCGAGCAGGGCAGCCTCACCCTCCATCTCCTCGGCAAAGCAGTACACATCATAGGTCTCATTGGTGTCGCGGATGCCATAGGTTCTCACCCCAGGAAACTCATCCTTGTCTCCATAGCAGCCTTCCCGGGGCATGTGGATGGGGTACCTGCAAGGTGGGGGTGTGACACTCAGGGAATGGAGGGAGAGCTATGTGGCTTGGATGTTATGCTCTCTCTCATAGGACACAGTGACTGCCATGCATTTGACTCTGCCTGTCCAGGATAAGTAGACTATCTGTTTTTACAATTAACCAAAAAAACAAAACAAAACTCACTGCCGTTGAGTCGGATCCGACTACAAGCATCCCCTCCTTGGGTTTCCGAGGCAGTATCACTACAGAGGTAGATTGCCCAATCTTCCTTCCGAGGAGCGGTTGGTGGGTTTGAACCGCCAGCCTTCTGATTAGCAGTCAAATGCCTTAGGCACTATGCCACTAGAGCTCTTATTTTTACAATTATAAATGACTAAACAGAGCCCCCTTGTCTGAATATCTGATGGCATAGTGCCTAAAGCATTTGACTGCTAACCAGAAGGCTGGCAGTTCAAACCCACCAGCCACTCCTTTGAAGGAAGGTTGGGCAATCTATTTCCATAGTGATACCACCTCAGAAACCCAAGGAGGGGTCGCTATGAGTCGGATTCAACTCAACGGCAGTGAGTTTTGTTTTTTTTGACACCACTCTATCAGAGGTTGGCAAACTTTTTCTGTAAAAGGCCAGATAGTAAATATTTTAGGCTTTGTAGGCCATACAGTCTCCGGTGCAACTATTCAACTCTGCTGTGGTAGTGTGAAAGCAACCCTAGACAATATGTAAATGATGGGCACGGTTATGTTCCAATAAAACTTTATTTAGTAAGTTGAATTTGGCCCTCAGGCTGTAGATTGCTGACCCCTGTGCTGTATCTTTCAAGTCTTCCATCAACCTAATGAGGCAGGCGCTGTAGTGAGTCTATTTTGTATTTAAGGAGATTGGGGCTCAGAGTTGTCAAACAACTTGTCTAAGGTCACATAGCTTCCAAGTGTTGGGGTCTGAGGTGTGAGCTCTGGTACTATGTTGGACTGTTGTATCAACTCGTTTTTTATTATTGATGGTTTTAATGTCCCAAGAAATCTTTGCCTACCCCAAGATTGCAAAGATATTTTCTTCTGGAAGTTTTGTGGTTCTAGTGCTTACATTTAGAGCTATGATCCACCTCAAATTAATCATCTCATATTGTCTTAACAGGTTTATTCAAAATGGATTGAGACACCTTGAGGACAGGGATCTGTCTTGTTCTGTTCTGCAAGCCCATCCCTCAGCTGCATACACTCAGGAAAAAACATGCAAAGAAGTTTGATTTATGTATGTCTTGTCTTGCTCAAAAAAAAAGGGAATATAAGGTGGTTTATAAAAAATACTTTAGTTGAAAAACAAAACAACAAATCAGTAAGTGAAGAAATTGTGGCAAAGAGGAAAAATGGGTAAGAAGAATTATGTGTAATTTGCATGGAGAAAATGCTCATCTAAGGCAAGGTTGGAGTCCCTTAGCACTGCAAATGGTTAACTTGCTCAGCTGCAAACCAAAAGGATGTTAGTTCAAATCTACCCACAGGCTCTTCGTAAGAAAAGCCTATCTATTTCCAAAATATCAGTCATTGAAACTGCTATGGAGTACAGTTCTATTCTGACACATAAGGAGTTGCCATGAATCAGAATCAACTTGATGACAATTTTTTTTTTTTTTTTTTTAAAGGCAAGGTTGTCAGCTGCCACTCACTCTGGTTTAAGACAGAATAACAAGAATTTGGGATGGATCAATGGGCCTATGGTTGGTCAATGTGCCATCCAGCCCCCAATCTAGGCTGATCTCAATGTCACCCTGGGAGCTTCTCACCCCACCACTTGCCCCACTCTGTCCAGATACCCACTTGGCTGGTGGGCTGAGAGCTCACCTGACAGTCTGGTCGGCCAGCCAGCCAGCGTCACACTGGTGGAAGCCATCCTCATAGGCAGCCTGTAGCTGCTCGGGTGTGGCAATGATGGCACTGTTCTGCAGGCAGGCCCGCTGGGCCCTGTCGAAGTCTAGGGTGTAGCGTGTGGAGATGGCTCTGTAATGGAACACAATGCCTGCAAGACAGGCGAGGGTGACAGAGAGTAGGTCAAGCATAGTTTCCAGTCACTGAGGTCCTCTCAGAATTATGGCAATCATCAAAAGGGAACCTTAGTGACATCTGGTCTGGGCTTCTAGCTGATCTCCACATTTGGGCATGGTCCTTCTGCCTTTTTTGGAATACCCTGAGAGACAGGGAGCTCACTACCTTACAGGTGTTCCTTTTCAAATACCTCTGGTAATCAAAAAGTCCTTCCTTGAATTAAACCCAAATCTTCCTGTCTCCTTGTTATTTTCTCTTGTTATTCCAGGACCCCATGTATTCTGGGGACAGACACACTCAGAGGCCCAGGGGCATCCTAGCAGAAGCACTGTTTAAGGTACACCCAGGAGTGGGCATCTTTCACAGAGCCTCCTACTGCACTTCTTACTGTGAAAAATCCTATGCTGATCAAACTCCTGAAGCCAATCAAGTACCAAACATTCTCTTTGGGCCATAGTAAAAAAGGAGACCTGGGAAGCTATCTTCAGCCCTTTCCTTGGCTCTGGAACTGAGAATAATGGGATGGAAGTAAGGAAGAGAACAGACAACTGAACAAAACGTCAGAAACCATTCTGACTCTCTTCCAGTGTAACTTTAGGCAAGTCACTTAACCTCAGCTTGCCTGTCTATAAAATGGGGATGATTACAAGTTATACCAAATCACAGGATTGTTTTGAAGCACAAACTGTCATTTATCAATTTGATCTCAATGTCATTTATCAATGACAGTGGCTGAGAAGTATATAGTTCTATTTAGTTTCCATATAATTCCAGATAGAATACTACTAGCTCCATTTTTACAGAGGAATTAACTGAGGTTAAGTCATTTGACTGAGGTCCACACCTTGAAAGCCAGTCTGGCTGGGTCTACACCCGTGAGGACACCATTCCAGTTCTTTCTGTGGGTGGAGCAGTGTCCCCAAGGGTGGCTCTCACCTTTCACCACAACCTCCAGGGTGGCCTCGCTGTCTTCGATGCCGTGCATCACCTCACAACGGTAGACCCCAGAGTCATTAGAGCGCAGATTCTGGATCTCCAGGGTGGCATCACTGGGGATGGCTGGGTAGTTGGGCAGTGAGACCTTGTCCTGGTAGGCACTGTTGACCCGCACCTGCCCCTCGGTGGCCACCACCAGGACCATCTCCTTCTCCTTGGAAATGTGGCTCCACTTGATTCTTGGGGCAAGGGGAGCGGTGGAGGGAGCAGTGGTGACAGGGTGCATGGGGTCGATGAAATAGCAGGGGATGGTGAGGGAGCTTCCGAGCAGGACCCGTAGCGGGGAAGGTTCAGGGATGCTCACACTCAGTGAGGTGTCACGGTCTGTGAGGGAAGGTGGGGTGGAAAACAGACCTGTTAATGCCTAGAGAAGATCCCCTCCCCTCCACACACACACACAGCCTCCTTGTCAGTCCTTCTGGAACTGTATGCTTCTGATTTTATAGTGGGAGCAGTAGGGGCTAAAATAAACACTGAGATGCTTCTGTGACATGTGGAAACTCCCCGGAGGCCTTGAAACACTTTTTGCAGAGCTGCTTTTGTAAGACTGCTGGTCTCTGCACCTCAAGATAGAAATTATGAAGCCTGAAAAGGGTTCCAGAGAAGAACAAGGGAAATGCCAATATCGAGACAACTTCTCTGTTCCTCAAACCTTATGTGGTGCCAAACCACAGGTTAAACAGGATTCCTGGAGTGACAACTTGACTCAAAAATTTTTGGTAATAATTTCTGTTTACCAGTCCTTGAGTGGTGCAAATGGTTAACATGCTTGGCTGTTAACCAAAAAGTTGGAGGTTTGAGTCCACCCAGAGGCACCTTGAGAGAAAGGCCTGGCAATCTAGTTTTTAAAAATTAGTCATTGAAAATCCTCTGGAGCTCAGTTCTATTCTAACACACACAGGGTCACCATGATGGCAACTGATAATGGTAAAACAAATAAAAAATTAAAAAGTGAATACACTACAGGGTAGGAAAAGAAATCCACCCAACTTTGAAAGCTAAGCTACAAAATTTCAAAGACGTGTTCCACTTGAGGAGATGGGCTTTGGGCTCAGTCTAGGTCTTTCACGGGTATAAGCTACTCTCTTCTGCTGTTAGGGATGCAAGGGGCTTAGCTGGAGAAACACCTGAGATCAGACATATTAGTCTGCAAGAGTCAGGCAGAAGGGGTGAAGGAACATGAGTAAACTTCATAAAAATCATAGCATGTATTCATAGGGAAGATGCCACATGTTCACCAAGTCCTGTTAGAAGTAAATGAGCAGCCTGGAATGAGAAAGAAATCTTTCTGGGATAAAATAGCACCTTTCATGGGGAGTCATAAATTTATGAAAGCCTTCTTTCCAGGAGCACCTACATACTGAACATAAAAACGTTTCAGATATTTGTGGGTGGTAGGGCAAGAAAGGGCAGGCTAGGAATGTTTGGAGTCAAGCCCTAATCTTTTGATATCCTGGAAGTCACTGCCAGGCCCTTCCACAAAAATCTTGCCCTAAATGTTTAGCACTAGCACCTTCTAACATGCATAGTCTTGGTGGTAGTGGTGGGTCTCTGGGGAGAGCTGGTGACAGGAAAGTCCAGCCTTGTAGCCTCTAAAGCTCTTAACTAGCCCTCCTGGACTGGTCTGCTTGTATGAGCAAACCACCCCAGGTTTTAGCCTGGGCCTGGCTATCTGTGGGCCTCAGAGCAAGAGTACAAATGGAGGCTCTGTACATATGGCTAGACTTTTAGAAGTTATCAATCAAGCCAATAGATTGTTAAAGAAAATACGTTCTATCTTCCTATTTGACAATGCTCCCTTTCAAAATGACTTGGAAAGCCAAGTTCAAATGTAGAACTCATGGAATTCTTTAGAGTTCTGCACTGGAATGCGGTAACATGGAGGAGGGGGAGCACCCCATTCCCCCTCACCCTCCAGCCCATTGATTCTGCTGTGCACTGAGAGAGGTCTCATGCACATGGTAAGGGCATCCCAGACTTACATCCAAGCTCTGTCAATACCCTACACAAACAGTCACCGCTGAGTCCCTCCTTCAGGACTAAGGGTGGCTTACTCATAAGGATAAGGACCCAGAGAAGAGCCCCATGCAGGTCCTGGAGGGGGCTGGGCCCATCAGGACAGGGGATTCTGGGCATCCTGGGTACCCATAATGTTGTCTAAAGGGAAAGTGTGGGTCTGGGTGGACATATCCAGTGGGTCCTGCAAACTCCTCATCCTTTGGGGAGGATTGGGATGGAGGAGGGTCAGAAGGGCCCTCTAAAGTGCATGGCCCAAAGGCGTTAAGGGAGGTAGGTACTGGTTACATCAATTCCACTTTGGAGTCAAGCCCATCCTGTGGTCAGAGACTGGTTTGTTTATTTGGTTCAAATGATCAGAACTATACCCAGAGCCTGCCACATGCAAGATGACTGGTGGAGCTTCCTGAGGACAAGAAAGGCAAAGACTTGTCTGATTTATTGGAGATTCTTTTGGTTTATTTCACAGATGATATTTCTCTTCTTTGATGCTCTAGCTGATGTACCCTGGACCACTTTTTCTCTGTCCTGCCTTACCTCCAAGCTCAGTGTGCAGTAGTACTAAGTAATATCCATAAGGAGAAGGATGCTGGGAAGGTAGGCACCTGCCAGGAACTCTCTCCCTGAACTGTCTAGCCCAGAGGGCAGGCAGGAGCACTATTAGCTGAGCAAGAGATCCTGGATGTGCATACATGAATGTGTGTTTGTGCGCACATGTGCATATACATATGTGGGTGTGGGAGCATATCCATGCATGCATGGGTGCATGTGTATATGCATGCATGCATTGTGTATGTGTGCACACGTTTTTGGCACACATGTATATATGTACACACACATGTATGAACACGCATATGCATGCACACATGTGTATATGCATGTCTGTGTGCAGGTGGTCTCCCTTTGCAGTTGTGCTTGCATTTGAAAGGAAAGGGGCAGGGCAAGAAAAGGTCAGGAAAGGGGAAATTATATCTCTGGGACTCACAGTACACAGGTCAGTTCCTGGAACCAGAATCCCATTCTCAGTGCCTGCTGAACAAATGAAACTGGAGTGGGAAAGTCCTCACCTGAATATTCTACTGAGACGGTTGCAGCGATGACTCTCAGAGTCACAAACACCAGCAGTAAAGTGGTCATAGTTCACCTGGAAGATGAAAGGCAGAGGCGGGATGTGAACGGTTGAGGCATGGTGAGGCTGAAGAGGGTCCTGTAACATACGACACAGGTGATAAACCCCAAGTCTGAGATCTGAAATCATATTGTGAAAAGGAGTCTGCACGTGGTGTGTGAGATGCTTCCCCCCAAATCCTCCCCTCACAAAACCTTCACACACCCAGCTGTGTTTTCTTAGTTTAATTAGAGGTAGTTAGGATGGGAAAACTCTTCCAGAGAACCTCCATCTTCCAGCCAGCGAAGCTGCATCTTGAGGAATCCTTTAGGCCCAGAGAAGTGAGATGAGTTGCTCAATCCTTTTGATGAAATCTGGGCCCATCATCAGTTTCAAATCCAATAATTTGTCCTTTAGGATGGAGTACACCCCAAGGTTTCAGTGCTCAATCCTCTTGATGAAATCTGGGCCCATCATCAGTTTCAAATCTAATAATTTGTGCTTTAGGATGGAGTACATCCCAAGGTTTCAGGCAAGAATGAGGGGCCTGGGACAAGTCAGGGGAATGATTCTGCCTAAAATCCAAAACCTTCCTGCTGGCTCAGATAATGACTTTGTGCAGATTAGAAAAACGGTCCTGGTTAAGTACACAATTCTGTAACAATCATAATATAAAAGGTACCCTTTGGAGCTGTGCAAACCATAACTTACACACTGTAAGCAGCTGTCTAAGGATCTTGCATCCAGCTGAGTCAGAAGAGGTAGACTCCAAGAAGTTCCAGTTCCAGTTGCCACTGAATCAATTCTGTCTCACGGTGATCCCATGTGTGTCAGAGTAGAACTTGATGGCAATTGGTTGGTCTCAGTAACGCACAGCTGAGAAGTGATCTCTGGCTTCCCAAGGGAAGCTTTTCAGGAGTTTGATGGTTCAGCAAATGTTGCTATGGATTCGATTGATCACCATAGTCTGGGGCCCAGATGGATTAGGGGATAAGGGGAACATCCCTGAGGGGCCTCTGGCTCCAAGAAAGGCATTGGAATCACTGGGGTTTCTGTCCCAGGAAGGACTGGGGGAGTGGTGGGGCAGAGTCCAGGACTCTGGGTAACTCTGCCTATTTTTTGAGTGGGACATCTTTCCATCTGGCATAATGCCTAAGGCATTTGACGGCTAACCAGAAGGCTGGCAATTGAAACCCACCAGCCACTCCTCAGAAGGACTGGGCAATCTATTTATGTAGAGATACCACCTTGGAAACCCAAGGAGGGGTCTCTATGAGTTGAAATTGACTTGACTCGACTTGACAGTACTGAGTTTTTTTGTTTTTTTTTAATTGTGATTTTGGTGAAATGATTTACAGGGCAAATTCACTTTCCATACAGCAGTTCACATATACTTTGTCTCATGTCATTGCCCACAGTTTACCACAATGCAACAGTTCCCTTCTCACTTCCTCCCCATAGTTACCACTTTCCAGTGTCATCCCACCATACTCTCCTGCCCCCTAAGCTGTCTCCCTGTGCATAAGCAGCCCTTCCTTCTCCCATGATTGTTCTCTCCAGGGCGTGTGTCTACTTGAGGTAAATGTTTAACTAACATGCCTGTACTTTGTTTGGCTGGAAACCACAGGTGTGGGTTCAATTCCAGACCTGAAGGGCAGCTAGGGGCCATAGTCTCAGTGGTTCCACCAGGCTCTATTGGACCTGCAAACCTGGTCCCAACCATCTATTTTTTTTTTCTTTCCCTCCAAATGATTTTGAGTTTCTTTCCACATTGTTCTCCCTCTCTATCCAGGATCTCCTACATCCCTTCCAAGTAGATGACAGTGGTAGCCGGGCACCATCTAGTTCTTCTGGTCTCATAGTTGTATAGGTTGCAGATTGGATGGTGTACCAGTCGCTAGGACTGATTGTTTCCATTAATTTTGGTTTTCTTCTTTCTTCTTTGCTCTTGACGAGGAAAGACCCATCGTTGCATCTAGATGGCAGCTTGCTAGCTTTTAAGATCCCAGTTGCTAGCAGTGAGTTTGTTTTTTTGTTTGATCCTTCACTCATTCCACATAGATTGTCACCTGAGAAATGAAAAACCTGTGTGCATGGGTACTGCTGCGGTATAGAGATAAATGTGTGAGGCATGTATCCCTCACACCACAGGAAGTCTGAAAAATCCCAGAGTTCTGAGAAGTAGTCCCTTTCCTCTCCTCAGATTTTTCTACTTAGATGTTGCCTTTAAAAGAAATCTCTGGGACTCTAGGTTCTAGAGTTGAGAGGGCCCACTGAACTATGGAGCTCCTCTTCAAACCCAGTTGTGACCAGTCAACGTTGGGAAATAATAGTTCCTGGGAGGGAAAAAGGGTCAGGTGTCCTTTCCACTCTGGGGAGGGGGCCTAGACTTGCAGGCTCCTCTCTTCCCAGGGCCTCAGGGATTCCATGTTTAGATACAAGGCCCACCTGTTCCTCCCTCAGAACACCCTTCATTGGGAAGTTTTGTGTATATTTTCAGAGTTGTGTTTCTTCCCTTGCTCCCTGAACAAGTTGGACATTGTCCGGGGATGCAGTGGTTCTCTGTGGGGCTTGGGGTTGCTGTTTTCCACCCTGGCCTAGACCAGGAAATGGGAAGGAATGAAAAGGGGGGCTCGGTTTGAGGGTAGGGGTGGAGTGGGCAGAAAACCCAATTTTATTTCTTCTTTTTTTTAAGGCAAACTTTGGGATAGAAATATCGCAATAAATATGTTCTTGTGTTCGTGTGTGTTTTCCCAGCTGTAAAGAAAATAGGGAGAAATTCCATTCTGTCTGGGTTCCAAGTGTCTCAGGACTCACTGAGTCTTTTATGTGAGGCAATTGACATTGCCAGCCCCGTCCCACCACGGCTCTGTGAACAGGGAGGCCTTTCTCCATGGAAAACAAATTTAGGTGGTAGCAAGGGGATTGGGGAGTTGGGGCTGAAGAAGGGGTAAGAGTGAGCCTGGAAAAGAGGGAAGAACGGAGTGGGGCAGTGAGAAATGGATGCTGGGAGTGTGGGTGGAGCTTCTTCCAGGTCCATGCAGGAAGAGAGGGCTGGGGTTTATCATCAAGGAATTCTCTGGATAGAATTATTAGGGAGCTTGACAGGGAAAGGGATCCACCAGTTGTGCAAATGATTAATGTGCTTGGCTGCTAACTGAAAGGGTGGACATTCAAGTCCACCAGAGGGGCCTCAAAAGAAAGGCTTGGAGATCTACTTTCCAAAATCAGCCATTGAAAATGCTATGGAGTACAGGTCTACTCTGATGCAGATGGGGTTGCCATGACAGCAACTGGTTACACTGGGAACTGATAGGGGGAGATAAACATGCTGGTGTTTTTCACCTGAGCTGAGGCTTTGTGTGTGTGTGTGTGTGTGTGTGTGTGTGTGAGAGAGAGAGAGAGAGAGAGAGATATGGAGATACAGTTTGGAGACAGGGAAACCTATCAAATCCTAGACAGCTAGACTATCCCTTGCTGGCCTACCCAGACTTTATTCCATCAGATTATGGGATTGAACCAGCAGTTTACCTGCTCACCCTCAGTCCTTTTTCCAGCAGCATGTATAGTAGAGCCCCTCAGACCTGGGCCCTGGTCCTGGCTCAGTCACCTACTGCTTAATAATCCAGGCCCCACCCCCACAGGGGTGAGATAGTGGGGCAGGAAGTTCCTTCCTTGAGGGCAGGGGCCACAGTCTCAGATACAGAGTCTGTTGCTTGGCAGCTGGCCCTCTGTGCCACCTTACTCCCCTCTCCCTGACTGTCAGACTTGGGTGAGCCTCTTAGAATTTGGGGATTCAAAGACAGTTTAGTGGTCATAGGCAGGATTCCTGTCCTGGGTTGAGGGCTGGACTAGATGATGTTCCTTAAAGAATAAATCTGTTTTCATTAAAAAAATAACAAAACATTACCAAACATTTAGAAAACCAGAGAAATGGAGAGAAAAAAAAATCACCATGATCCATAATCCAACTAGAATTAGTGTTTTGACAGTTTTCCTTCTAGTCTTTCTTTTTTCCTCAGGCATTGACTTGTGTTTTATGTCATTGTAATCTTTTTGCAAACTGTTTGCTTTCCCTCCATAATACTATGGACCAAATGATTTTTAAAAAATTATTATTATCATTCCTTCAGAATTGATGGCTGTGGGGGTTTTGTGATCACAACTTCCCTCCCAGGAATTTTGTCGACATGGCCTCCACAGCTACCATCAGTTTCTACTTGAATTGCTGGGTACTCACTCCTTCACACAGTGGCCCATTCCATCTCTGGGCAGCTCTAAGTGTGCTAAAGATCTCCCAAGATGGAATCAAAATGATCCCCTGGTTATAATTCCCAAGCATGAACTCCACCCTTAGGCACCACACAAAACATATCCACTCCTATTTCACGTAACTCATATAACATATCTTCAGGGGTTCAGTGGCTGCTCTTCCATTGGCTGTTCTCCCATGGAGACATTCTCAGTTCTTTCAACTTTCCTCATGTAGCTTCCAGGCCCCTCTTGCCTCTCTGGAGCCACAAGATCAGAACTGGGATGGGCTTTAGTGAACATCAAGTTCAAATGCATCATGTTACAGGGGTAATACATTAAGGCTCAAAGAGGGTAAGTGATTTGTTCAAGGACACACAGTAAGTTGGAGGTGGACCCAGGACCAGAACCTAGTTCTTGAGGACCTGGGCCTCATAATACCAGTTTTATCATGCTCCACAAGGCAGCCACTGGGTCTGTTTTGTTCCCTTTAGCTCCAAAGAGCCCAGCATAGTGCCTAGCGTAGAGAGAAAGGACAATTAAGACATATTTGTTGAATGAATGAATGAACAAATGGGAGGTCCAAGCACCTTAGAAATCATTTCCTTCAGCCCTAGGCCTTGGAGGAAGGAGGACTCGGAAAGGAAGTCCATATTTGTTGAACACCTATGTGATGTACAGCCCTATGAGATACTACTAAAAGGTTGACATTTTGAGTCCACCCAGAAGAAAGGCCTGGTGATCTACTTCCAAAAAATTTGCCACTGTAAACTCTATG